CGTGAGCCACCGTGCCCGGCCTATTTATTTATTTTTAAGAGACGAGATCTCCCTCTGTTGCCCAGGCCGGGGTGCAAGGGCACATCATAGCTAGTTCACTGCAGCCTCGAACTCCTGGGCTCAAGTGATCCTCTCACCTCAGCCTCCCGAGTAGCTGGGATTATAGGTGTGCACCACCACAGTTGGCCCTAACTTTTTTCTTTTTTAAGTAAGCATTTTTTTAATGTAGTAAAATATGCATAACATAAAATTTGCAATTTTAGCCATTTTTAGGTGTACAGTTTGGTGGCAGAGTGAATTCACATTGTTGTGCAACCATCACCGCCATCCATCTCTGGAACTTTTTCATCTCCCCCAACTGAAACTCTATACCCATTAAACTCCCCATATCCCACCCACCCCAGCCCCTGGCAAACCCAATTCTGATTTCTGTCTCTATAAATTTGACTACTCTAGAGACCTCACATAAGTGGAATCATATACTATTTGTCACTAATTTATTTTTAAACTCCTGCTGTGTTTTTTTTTTTTTTCAATTTGAAAGCAGTCACTGTTTATTAACTGACCAGATTACGAAAAATAATCATGGTAGAGACCTTAGTTCATTCTTCTACTATGCCTGTTAATGTGGTCTTTCCTGGGCCAGCATCTCCACCTTCCAATAATGGGTTCTCTTTTTCTTCATTCCACCTGGTGGAGATGATAACTCAAAGGGCCACAGGAAGTTATTTGCTGCTTTAAGGCGTTTCCCAACAGCATAGATCTCACGAATCAGATCCTCCCTGCAGATGGTGCCGCATTTACCCAGAGACCGAGCAACCAAAGCGTTATCTGTCAACGCAGCTTGCTTCCTACTGATCTTGCCATAACCACGCTTGTCGATCAGTTCATTTATTGACTTCAGGTTTGGGTCCCCCATGCAATATATGCTTCTACAATCCTCAGCATGTTAACCGAAGGCTTGTTGAGCTTAACAAGGTTCCACTGAAGATCTGGTGAAGGCGAAGAAGCTGCAACACCTTTCAAACCTTTGGGTTCACACCAATGACACCTCTGATCCTGATGACAAATGCCAACTTGGGTGCTGCAGGTGCAAGTTGCCAGCTTTTCTTGCCATCCTAGCCATTCGAATCTTGGTTCTGTACATCTGCCTGTATTCCTATGATAATGCTTAGCTTTTTCATAGGTAAGCTTCCTCCTTGCCTTTCGAAGCATCTTTTGGGCAAACTTCTTTCTCAGGCGTTTGATCTTCAGCTCTGCGAAATTCCTTCGCTTTTTCTTAAGGGTTTCTGGCACAGCAGGAACCTTCTTTTTCTTCTCTCTAGTCGACACCCTCCATGGTTCCAGCCGGAAATGAGGACTGCTATGGTTTTAGTATTCACCACTCACTTTAAAAAATCATTTTTTGGCTGGGGGTGGTGGTTCACACCTGTAACCCCAGCCAAGGTGGGAGGATCACTCGAGCCCAAGTGTTTGAGACCAGCCTGGGCAACACAGCAAGACCACCTCTTTAAAAAAAAAAAAAAAAGCCAGGTGTGGTGGCATGTGCGTGTAGTCCCAGCTCCTTGGGAGGCTGAGGCAGAAGGATCGCTAGAGCCCAGGAGTTTGAGATTGCTGTGAGCTACAATGACACCACTGCACTCTAGCCTGGGCAACAGAGTGAGACCCTGTCTTAAAAAAAAATCATTTTTCTCACTCATATGTGGTATCTAAAAAAATTGATCTCATAGAAATAGAAAGTAGAATGTGGTTACCAGAGGCTGGTGTTTTCGGTTGGTCAGGGTGGTTGGGGAGATTTTGGTCAAAGGATACAAAATTTCGGTTAGCAGAATAAGTTCAAGAGATCTATTGTATCACAAGGTGACCAATGTATTCTTGAAAATCTCTAAGAGAGTAAATTTTAAGTGTTCTTGCCATAAAAATAATAACTATGTGAGATAATACATGTTAATTAGCTAGATTTAACCATTCCACAATGTACACATACTTCAAAACATCACATTGTACATGATGAATACATACAGTTTTATCTGTCGATTTAAATAAATAGATTTGAACATTCTAAAAAAAATCATTTTAATTTTCTCATGTGAACACAATGCTGTTTGCAGTTAAATTAATGTCACTAGAAAGAACTCAGGCTCTAATTTTAAAACACAACCAGCCCCAAGTGGGCAAGAAAAAATTTGCCCACATAACACGAGGGCCATGGGCAGGTCACTGGAAAGATGAGAAATCTGGGTAAATCAGGGTGGAGCAAGAATAACTTTTTATAATGAAAAAAATAAAATGAGATGAGGGAGTGGGACTATGAACTGGGCAGTCTGGAGCCTGAGCACCTGTGGTCTTCTAATTCTAGAATTTCATTTTTCTGAGCGCCTCTGACTGTCAGATTCTAGGATTCTTTGGCTAGGACTTTCCAAGTCCCATGGCTGTATTCATGGTTCTGACCACTCTGCTTTTCCACCCAGGCCGTGCCCCAGGGATCAGAGCCCTGCCCAGGCCGCCTGGGGGGGCAGCCTGGCAGAGCCGTGGACAATAGAAGCATTGTGAGACCTCAGGAGCTGCGCCTGGGGGCAGTGGAAGGCGCGTGGGAGGCGCTGGTGGCTGGAGCAGCAGCTGCTTCACCCGGTCTCCTCCATGCTTGCTGGGCCAGAGGAATGCCCTGAGCATGCCAGGACAGCACCCTGAGCCCCGACCCCTGCCGGCCTGGGTGAGGCTTGGGTCTCCTGGAATCCCAGCTATGCATGAGGATAGGCGGCTGTTCCAAGCCTTTCTCCACAGACCATCCTGCCCTGACATATACACATTCTGGAAAATGCTCCTGGGGCTGGGCAAGTGGACTCACCTCCTTACCCCCCCAAAACTGAACCACCCTCCAAAACAGAGAGGACTGTGCTGCCTGTCATTGGGAGGGTGCTCTCTGAGCTGGGAAATACTTATACTTGTCATCTGGGACTGTCCCAGGAGCGGAAGGTCAAAGAAGCCAGTGAATCATCCGACGTGGCAAAGCCCCTTACCTGGCAAAGCCCCCTCAGTGTACTGAGAGGCTGGAGCCCAGGGAGGGGAGGTGTTTGCTCAGGGTTGTAGAGGCACTTACAAGCGGAGCTGGGACCAGGCCCCATCCTTTGGACCCACACTCCTGTGCCACTGGCTGCTGAGGTCTCAGACTGCCAGTCTCCCCACTTTTAGCTGCCCCTCAAATGCCTACTGCTGCTCCAAATTGTACACACGCTTTATGATCTAGCTCAGACATCACCGCCTCCCTGAAGTCTTCCCTGATCGGCCCAGACAGAAGCCACACTCCAGGTCTCACAGAATCCCACCCTCAGAATTAGATGAGACCTAGGGGGGATACTTCTGTGATGTCAGAAAGGAATTTCCACAGGCCCGCCCTGGAGGGACTGGCAGACTAGTGTGGAAGACAAATATGTAAACAATCCCAGAAAGACAAGGGATATGATGGAGAGATGGGCAAAGTGCTACAGGGCTTCCAGAAGGAACCTGTCACCTCCCGCCAGGGACTGGGGGACATCCCTGAAGGCTGCATGGTAGAGGTGGCACGTATTAGTGTATATGTCTCTCTCTCCATTGGACTATGAGATCCTTCATCAGTTATTTAAACTTTGCTGAGCACTAACCATACTCTAGACATCGTGTTTGTTGTTCACATTAAGGTGCATTATCTCGTTGATTCCTCAACTCTATGAGCTGGGGACTATCACATCATCCCTGTTTACTGATGAAGACGAGGCTCTGAGAGGTTCAACAGCAAGCTCGAAGCCACACAGCTGTTAAAAGGTGCAGTTGGGTCTCAGTCTAGCTGACTTCACAAAGAACTTCCTTCTGGTATATGGAGGCAGGCATTGACTGTGTCCCGTTCACCACTGCATGCCTGGTTTTCACTATATATTCCTTTGTTTTTATCATCCTGTGAGTTGGGTGAGCAACAGCCCTCCCGGAAGCCCTGGCTGCACTGAGGCCCTGACCCACCATGCCGAAGGCCAACCCTGGGCAGAAAGTCCCCAGGGCCTCCAGCCTTGGCTGTCCCAGGACGTCCCATCTCCCCTTCAAATGCAACAAATATTATTGGTACTGGGATTTTGCCAGCAGGTTGGCAGGGTCGATGTTTGGGTGCTGCCCATTGACAGTTGGGCTCCTGTTGCTCTATAGGAGGAGCCCAGGGGCAGCAATTTGCCAGGAAGAGAGGGAGGGAGAGACTATAGGACCTGACTTAGAATTGGGTCTGCATAGCAAGCCCACTGTTCATACTTTGGCTGTAGGTTTGGGGGACGTCCCTGGGAGTCTTACAACCCCCCAGTATCAACCTGGCCTGCTCTGCAAGTCAAAGTCAGGCACAGTAGCAAACAGTTTCTGAGCCTTCCTGACACAGGAAGGTCACCTCTCCTCTGAGGACTGAGTGACAAGGGAGGGGCTGTCAGACACCGGAAAAGGCCTGTTTGTCTCCCAGCTACTCAACTCTACACAGTGCTGTGAGCAAGGCAGCTCTTCCTATCAGAGCAGGAAATGAGACTTTTCTGTCAAAGCTCTGGGAGTGAATTGCTTTTTCCTCTAAACAGAACAGAGGTTAGATAAGGCCTATCTCCTCCCCAGGTGACACAATACCAACACATTTGGGACAGATATGAGTAATACCAAACACCCATATCACACTCCCTAGTTTTATATGCTGATATTTTGAAAGGCCCAGGTCGGAGGAGAATGATTCCCTCCACTTGACTGATGAGGAAGCAGGGCTCAGAGAAGTTAAGCTCCGTGTCTGAAATCTCCTAGTTTTCAGGGGCAGTGTCAGGATGTGAACTTATGTCCTCCCCTTCCCAACTATGACCAGAGAGTGGAGAAGTCCACCCTCCCAGGATCTGCTGGCCCCAGGGGAAAATGTCAGGGTAGGGGGAGAGGGAAGTACCTTGATCAAGTGGCTGGATAAAGCCGGGTGGGGCCAGAAATCAGGAAAAGCCTGGTTTTTCAGCTGCAGGCTTGATAGGAATGTGAAGCCCCGGGAATTAAGACAAGTTGCTGCTTCCCATACTGCTCTTCTAGAAAATCTCAGGAAATTTCTGGTCAGGCTTTGGACCTTCACACTGGCCTGTCCCCTGCCTCCCTCTCAGCCTCTACTTGATGCCCTTCCCCCACACTGGAGGCCAGCTCCTTACGCCGGCCACAGCACACGCCAGCCCATCTCCAGTCTGCAGGGCAGGCCAGGGTTGGGAGGCCGCTGTTGGGAAGAGCCAGCGGGGCACAGCCACGGTTTTTGCTGGCCTACGGTTGCGCTGGAGTGTCCACGCATCAGTTAATCATCTAGGCTGCTACAATCCAGACACCACTTGGTCATGCACTGATACTGTATCATTCCGTCCTCACTCACTTACTTCCTCCTGCACTCATCATTCCGTCAACAAAATCTCTTTACTGCAAAGGTCATTGCTCCCAACTGCTGCCTGGCTGTTCATGGGCCTCCTGGCCCATTTAGATCCCAGGGTTTACCCAGAATTCCAGAATGGCAGGGCTGCAGCCCTCAGACTACAGCTGGTCCCACTGCTTCATTTTGCAGCTGAGGAGACAGCCAGGAGCCAGGCAGGGTCAAGGCTGTCCTGGGAGAAAAAGCCCCATTTTGGGTTCACAGTCCAGTGTATGAGAAAGATGGGGGGTAAGGGATTGTGTGCAAAGGAACCTGGAGTCTAAAGATCCAGCCCCAGCTATTCACTGCCTCTGTCCAAACTGTCATGCCCTGGGCCCTTCCAACTGGATGTCCCACAGGCTCCTCAAATTCTTGTTGGAACCCAGTTCCCTAACCACCTGCCTGCGGTTCCAAACCTGCTCCAGCCACCGCCCCCATTCTCAGAGGACGGCTTCACCATCACCCAGCTGTCAAAGCCACAGAACTGGGCATCTGCCTCCCCTGCAACCCCTACATCTGCTCAACTGCCAAGTCCTGTCCTCTGTAGCCTCCCCAATCTCTCTGGAATTCTCCCGCTTCTCCCCACGCCTGCTGCTGCCGCTGTGCATGAGGCCCAGCTCCTCCGAGGCTGGGCTGCTCTGGACAAGTGACTCAGCTTCTATGAACCGGCCTCTGCACGTCTCCACACAGGCCCTCCCTTTGGTCCATGGAGGAGGAAGCAGTAGAGAAAGCCCCTGGGTGGAGTCTGGAGGCTGAGTCCCAGCTCTACCACTAGGTAGCCAGGCTGTTCCACACATGACCTTTCCGCTTCTATAATGTATGGCTTTGATCGCCAAGGTCACGGCCACCTAATAACGGCCTTCATTTCCTAGTCACACGCTATGGCCAGGTGCTTTGCTAAGAACGTGATACAATTTAATCCACAGAACAATCCCGAGGCAGGTGCTACCCTCATTTTATAGATGAGAAAAGAGAGACGATGAGAGTTAAGTAACTTAGCCCATAACCACACAGTTAGTATGTGGCAGTCAGGACTCAAACCCAGGTCTGAGGGAGCCCAAGCCCACATGCTGCTATGCTGCCTTCTCTTGCTGATGCAGAAACTTCTGGTAACTGGTACCACCCAGAGCTCCCCATTCCCTGGCAACAAAACCCTTGCTCTTGTTATGCATGGGAGTATCATGAACCTGCTTCCTCTGGGCAAGATGGAATAAAAATCCTGCAAAAATGGCCACAGCTGCTGAATGCCCCACATTCCTCCAGCGGTGCCAGGCAGAGTCCAGCTATGCCTGCCCCACTCACAGGCTGCTGGCTGCCCAGCACTGCTGCTGAGCCTGGACCAAGCCGCTGGCAGACAGCCCTGAGCTAGGCACTCGCACACTGGGTCTGTGTGACCCTGGGCTCCTGGGATGGCTTGTCTCCTGGCAAAGCAAGAAGAGTGCCAAGAGGCTGTGTTAGACACGACACATTTTGACCTGGCATAATTTTAATGATGGAGAACTATGACATGAACTATGCAACTCTGCTGTTGAATTCAAAACAAATTACCTCCGGAGGCTGCTCAGGCAGTTCTGAATTCCTATGAGCCACCATTGCCAACGTCAGAGCTGGTGGGGTACAGCACGAGACGTTCTTCAGGAGGAATCAACCCATGGCACCCTCCCTACTGCCAGGGAACCAGGTGGTAGCCAGGCAGTGGGTGTGAGGAGCCCTGGCTGGCACTGGCCAGGCCATCAAAGCACCTGGCAGATCCCGACTCGGCCACTCATTAGGCTTTAACAAAGTAACAGATGAGGGGTTGGAAAACGACCAAGAGCTCTACTAAGGTTTGGACTTATTACACATTAACAGAGTGGCTGCTTTTGTTTTTAATGCCTTTGGGAGGTGGGGCTGAGTTCTAGCATGGTATCCCAGAGATAGTACAGGCTTTAGCCTAATTCAGGGCTAATCAGGGTTCAAATCCTGGCTCTACCCCTGAAGTCTGGGAACTTAGACAAGTTTTGTAACTTTTGGTGAAGAATGGCTTTCTACCTCACTCAAAAGTCACAGTCCTTACAGTCATCTACAAGGCCCTGCGTATGACCTGGAGCCTCCCCCAGTCTCTGACCACTCCTCCTCCTTCCCTTCTCCACATGGCCTTCCTACTACATTGCCTCCACACACAAGACAGGCTCTGGCCTCAAGGCCTTTGCACTTGCAGTTTCCTCTGCCTGGAGAGCTCTT